GGAAAGAGAGGAGTTACCCCAGACAGGATGGCCAGGCCACAGTCCCTCCTCCACCCTCGTCCTCTGGGGATCTTGGACACGCGCACACACACGCGCCTGGTGTGATTTTCAGGCCACCAGGTCCAGGACTAGCCCCACAGCCCTGGAATCCAGTTCCTTAACCACCACTGCAAAGGCTGGCCCCAGAGACAGCCCTTTAAAATCAGTCAAATTGTGTTAGTTCCCTCCTGTCCCTGCACTGAGTTCCTTTCTTGGCTGGAGTGAGACCCCCAGTCTTTGCTGTGGTCTTTGACCATGTGCACCTGCGTCCCCACACCGGCCCCTTGTCTGAACGCTGCTGCTTCAGGGCCTTTGCGCTGTGGTTCCCTGGATCAGCGTCTGCAGACTCTGCTGAGCTGCCAGCCGGGCAGACCACTCCCACCACGATTCTGTCTCCATCTCCCCTCCCTTGGCTTTATTTTCTCTGTAACTCTTTTTGCTCATGGGCTCGTTTACTGTGTTTAGTTGTGTGTTTATAAATTGTTTGTCTTCACCCTCCAGACGTAGGTTTTGTGAGCGCAGGGGCTTCAGTTGGTCATTGGTGTACCCCAGTGCCTAGAGGCTCGCCCAGCACAGCGTGCAGCTCCCACAGCGGCGGGTAGACAGCTCAGATCTTGTGCACTGAGTGGAGTGAGCGTCCAGTCACCGGGAGTCTGTTACTGTAGCAGCCTCCTGAGGTTTCACAAGCTTAGTGGGTGGTTTTATGGAAGTGGTGGGCTACCTATCTAGGTGAAATACATATTGCGGAGAGCAAATCTCTAGAGCAGAGTAATGGATCTGATAAGGCTGTTTTTTAAGATGCTAAAGAGCAGATTCGGTTAGATGTATGCCGGCATTTAATTAGCAGATTCACCCATTTCTCTCCGTACCTCTGTCATGTGTGAAAGGTGCCCTGGTCAGTAAAGGACATGCATGGCTGTGACTGCTCTCAGACGGCCCTTCAGCAAGGACCGAGCTCAGCATGCATGTCGGGAAGCCGTGGGGCGTCACCTCCCCGTCCCCCAGGGACCCAGATTCCGTGCAGCCTGAGCATGGCAGAGCCGCTGTGGTGTCGGAACTGCTATGGTGGCCAGTCTCAAGCCGTCCCGTGAGGAAGATGTGCAGGGGCATGCCACGTACAGGTCGAGGATCCCCTGTCCGAAATGCTTGGGATAGAATTATTTCTCTTTCCAGATTTCTTCAGATTCGGGAATATTTGCATAAGCAGGATGAGCTATCCTGGGGGGACCCAAGCCTGAGAGCGAAATCCATTTTCGTCTCATGTACGTCTTCCACACGGTCTGAGGGAATGTCCGGTTCTTCTGTGTTACAGCGTTTTGACAGCGGCCCGTCACACGAAGTCGGGCTTAGAATTTTCCCTGCCGGGCCTGCAGAGTGCAGGAGGGAAGGGCGAGAGCGTGGACTAGCCGCAGGTCTGGGTTCCGTGGGAGGCAGCCAGCTCAGGAAGCAGGACCGGTAGGCGTTATGGCTAGGATTCCTTTCTAACAGTGGGAAGGGGGAGGTGGAGGTGACAGTGTTAGTTCTTTAAAACCTCAAGGTAAAGGGGAATGTGGGAAGGGAAGAACGGCAGGGGAATAGAAATATATATATACAGAGAGAAAGAGAGCGCGAGCGAGAAAGCGGGCTGCCAGGCCCTGGACTCGAACCGCGGTCGGCCATGTGGGAGTCTGGCGACCTGACACCACCCATTTTTAACATGGAGGTTACGGCCTGCAGAGCTAACTGTGTCAGCGGCATGAGCGCTCCCTGACCCAGGTCTGCGTCTCCCTCGCGCTCTAGTAGAAGGTCAGAGTAGAACGCCGACCTGCCAGTCCTTTGGCAGTGAGCAGCGTTGGGGTGTCCCGTCCCCACTTCTGCTAGAGGAGAGGAACAACAGCAGAGAACTGAACCTCGTGAACACATGTGTCTCGGGTGAAAGCTCGGAGGTGGAGGTGGCGTCACTGACTGCTCTCGCCCTCACCCCCTCAGCGTGCTCGTCAAGTTCATCATAGGTGCCCGCGGCTGTGAAGTGCCCGTGGAGGACAGGGAGGACCCTTACTCCTGCAGGCTGCTCGACATCACGGACCCAGGTGAGCCCCTGCCCTGCGGCCACCGTCTACAGACCTGGCCTCGAGAACGTTCGTGCACCCCCAGCACGGACTCTCTACCAAGATTCACGTTTCACCCCTGTGACAGGTCGATTGCTCAGGGTGTTTGTAGGAGTTCTTTTTCTTTTTCTTTTTCTTTTTTAAAGGTTTTTACTATAGGGCGTGCATGCTCGCTGAGAGCAGCAGGGAGAGGGAAGGCGAGAAATCACCCCCGGGGGGAGCATGCTGTAGTCCCTTCTCCACTCTCTCAGGATTGTGGGCATGCACGTACGTGCACCCAGTGAGATTTTCAGGCTGCCAGGTCTGGCACTCGAACTTAGCTGGCCGTTTGGGGGGTAGTGCTGTAACCACCTGCACCTGCTGGCCCTGTGTAGAGGTGTGTGGGTTTTAAACTCTTGGAAAACTGCTGGGTGATTTTACTGTTCAATTCGTGACAGCCTTGAAATAAATGCTGTGAATCACCCTTCCCTTAGAATTATTGTCTAGGACTGGCAGGCGGTGCGGTGGTTAAAGAATCTGGACTCCCACATGGCTGACTGCGGTTCAAGTCCTGGACCTGGTGGCTTGTTTTCTCCCTTTCCCTTTTTCTCTGTCCCTGATGAAATTAAAAAATAATAATAACACATGTAATTAAATAAGTAATTCTAAAAAAAATAAGAAAGACATTATTGGGACCAGGACATGGTGTAATGGCTGTGTCACTCGACTTCCGTGTAGTCGACCACAGTTCGAGTTCCGCACCCAGTGGCTTAAACTCCCACGGGGCGCGTGCGCATGCGTGCCTCACCCAAGAGGAGAATGGAGGAGAAGGGATTGCGGCATGGCCATCGCCCTGGGGGGTGATTTCTTGCTTTCTGTTTCTCTGTCTCCCTCTGTCTAGTGAGCACATGCACCCTGTAGAAAAAATATCTCCACCAAAAAAAAAGGAAAAAAAAAGAATTATTACCTAAGCTTCTGAAAAGAAGTAAATTAAGAATACAGAAAATGTTATGTTCCTTACGACTGAGAGTTGTTGAGGGTTCTGGTGAGGGTGGGAAAGGCCAGCCTAACTGGGTTTCTGTGTTACCAGGAAGCCAAAATTGGAAGTGGCCATGGCTGTCCCTACTGTCATCACGCCCCGTCATGCGCCATGGCTGTCCCTATCGTCATCACGCCCCGTCATGCGCCATGGCTGTCCCTACCGTCATCACGCCCCGTCATGTGCCATGGCTGTTCCTACCCCGTCATGTGCCATGCCTGTCCCTACTGTCATCACGCCCTGTCATGCGCCATGGCTGTCCCTACTGTCATCACGCCCCGTCATGCGCCATGGCTGTCCCTTCCATCATCACGCCCCGTCATGTGCCATGGCTGTCCCTATCGTCATCATGCCCCGTCATGTGCCATGCCTGTCCCTACTGTCATCACGCCCCGTCATGCGCCATGGCTGTCCCTACTGTCATCACGCCCCGTCATGCGCCATGGCTGTCCCTATCATCATCACGCCCCGTCATGCGCCATGGCTGTCCCTTCCATCATCACACCCTGTCTTGTTGAGCAGACTCTACGGGAGGGTCAGCTTCCCCAGATCTTACCGTGTTGGTGTGACATCTGCTATTTTAAAGCCTGCCAAGCCTGTGGATTACATGTACTTCACTTTAATAGGTGGAAATAGCGTTTTGGTTGAAAACTTGCCTCTGAGGAACCAGCAGTTAGCGTAATGGCTGTCACTGGACTCCCACGTAGTCGACCGCAGTTCACGTCCCAGACCCGGTGGCTTAAAACTCACGCCGGGCATGTGTGCATGGGTGCCCAAGATCCCGAGAGGAGAGTGGAGGAGAAGGGGTTGCGGTGTGTCATCCCCCTGGGGGGTGATTTCTCGCTTTCTGTCTATCTGGCAAGCGCACGCGCCCTGTAGCAAAAACCTCTCAGAAAAAAAATCAGTGGCTCTGAAATCCACACTGCCCCACTTTTCAGCTGGGTGACCTCCTGGGCCTCAGGTTCATCATCTGTAAATTGCGGTGGAAATAAATCGGGGGTAGAAATAGCTCCCTCTTGGGGATTGCCAGGAGGCTGATAGATACTGATACTTAAAGTGTTAGGGGCCAGCCCCGGGGCTTGGTGGCTAAGACAGCTGGACCTCACGTGGCTGACTCTGGTTGGAGTCCCGGACCTCACAGCCTGAAAAACATGCTGGGTGTTTGTGCATGTGTGCCCCAGACCCGAAGGGAGGGAGAGGCGGAGATGGGACTGCAGCATGGCCGTCTCCCACGAGGTGCTCCTCCCAGGCCCCCCTCCGTCCCTCTGGCAGTGGCTGTGCCCTCCGGCAACGTTTTTAAATGGGCCACAGTAGCTGCTCGATACTGTTATCTGAAAGAGCCTGCCTTTTTATAAAATTGGGTTTCAGTCCTCTTTCCAACGAATCGGATCATGAACATCTACAACAAGGGCTCTCACTCAGCATGTCGGTGAGTTGACCTCGTGTGAGCAGAGATTCAATATGGCTGCTCTTCTGGGATGGGTCTTTCAGCCGTCACTGGAGTTCCGAAGGGATGGAACCTCGTCAAGTGTCGCATCACTGAAGTGCGATACCCACATCAGATCACGGCTCTGTACCCAGTGCCACAGGCAGCCAGGCCCGTCCGCAGTTTGAGTCCCAGACCTGGTGGCTTGAGGAACAGCTGGGCGGGCACATGCATGCCCCGAATCTCAAAATAGGGGGGATGGGGGGAAGGGATTATCACGTGGCCATCCCCGTGGGCAGTGCTCTCTGTCTCTGTCTCTGTCTCTCATGAGCAAACATGCCCTCTAGTGCAAAAACACCTCATTAAAAATGAACCAGAATCTTACTTCACACGCCCTGTTGTTCACCCGTGGTAAAGGAGTGGAGTTCCCATTAGGACAGCTTTCGTGTATGTGGTGCCGACAGCACCTGTCTGAAAGGAGACACGTGTGAGACAGAAACCAGGCACTGGGCCTCGTTTATCTCTAATGCTTTTAGAACACACTGAGCTCTTTCAGGGCCTGAAGGCCATGGTGAGCCCTAGTCGTGATGGTAGGAGTTGATTAACTGCGTTATCAAAGCAGCAGGGTTTCCTGTGTCCGGGGAGCTTAAAGTCATTTATCTTAGGTAAATATATGTCTAGTCTGGGGCCAGCCTGTGGCCTGGTGCTTAGGGTAGCTGGATCTCATGTGGCCCACCACACAGTTTGCATCCCACACCCGGCTACTTGAGAAACACACTAGGCACAGGCACATGCATGCCCAGTGTCCCAAAAGGGGGAGAGGAAGGAGATGAGGTTGCGGCATGACCATGTCCTGGGGGGTGCTTCCTTGCACCGCCCCCCACGCTACATGGGCGCACATTTTGGGTTGTCAGGAAAGTCATGATGTGTTTTTTTGTGTTTTCCTATGCAGAAATGCTTCATGACTTCCCTGACAACCCAGTGTGTGTGTGTGTTAAGGTTATTTCCATAGGGCATGTGTGATTGCCAGAGACAGACAGAGACGGTGAGAGGGACAGTGAGAAGTCACCCCCCGGGGGAAGGGCCACTGCAATCCCCTCTCCTCCAGGGATTTTGGGCACGTTCCCACACACACATGCCTGGCGTGACTTCCAGGCTGCTGGGGTTCAGACTTAGCTGGCCCTGTGGGAGTCCAGTGCTGTAACCACCGCGCTCCTGCTGGCTCCAGTGGCACAAATATTGCCAATGGTCAGACAGAAGGTAGGCTGCGGGACGTCGCGGGGCAAGGCCAGGCCTGCTGAGCGTTCATGGCCGCAGCGGGCACTGCGTGGGTCCCCATTCGCCCAGCGTCCAGATGGAGGCGTCCCAGTCGCCTGCATAGTTTCCCCCTCCCTTTTACATTCGCGTGCACCTGTGGATGCAGAACATCGTTAAAGCAGTCCCGGTGATTAAATAACTCACTTAGATGTTGCTGAAACTTCATTCTCATTTTTTTTCTAGAAGCAGCCATGCTTCTCCAGCATCATATATTAAATTTCTGCCATTTAACCCTCCCAGAAATGACGAATAATAATCTAGAGTATGCCCTCCAGCCCGCGTTAGCTGCCTCATGTAGTCCAGCGGGGGCTGCCCAGTGGAGGGTGCGAAAGCCCTGTTCTCTGCGCCCGCAGCTCTGAACCAGGAAGTCGAGGCGTTCGGGTTTCCTGACGACACTTCATCCGGGCTATCTGAGGACCGAGTCGTCAGCGTGAGCTTCCGCGTTCTGTACCCGATTGTCATCACCAGCCTCGGCGTGCTCCACGATGCCAGCGGCGCGGGGTTCCAGAGGAACGTCACTGTCAGGCTGTACCAGGCAGAGCAGGAGGTGCGGCCTCTTTCCGTGAGAGATGTGTCTGTTCCCCGCCTCGGGACGCCGGCGTGTCCTGTAGCATCCGGTCGATGGGAATGCCACACGGCTCCATCTGGCTAGGAGACTCCACCTTTCTTCCCTTACGATCGTACGCGTCATAGTGGGAGAGCTGCAATGGCGGACGGGGGAGAAGTCACCTGTGGATAGTGTGTGAAAGGAACGGGGGGAGTACCAGGAGAAAGGTCTTACACGCTGGGGGAGCTGGGCCCTTCTTGGCCTCCATGGTTCCAGTGCCTAGTCTGGTTGGCCTGAAACACGCCAGGCACACACGCAGGTGTCCAGGATCTGTGGGTTGGGGGACTGGGGCAAGGGGACGGTGGCCTACCATACCCTGAAGAAGGTACTCACCCCGCCCATCTCACACGCATGGACTCTGACGGAGGCTTTCCCCTAGCACGTGGCTAAGCACTGTGTGGAGAAAGAGCCCACGTGACCGACCAGAGTTCTTGGACAGCATAATGTGCATTTCTGGGATGGAGCTGGCCCCGTGGCCCAGTGGTTAAGGGAGCTGGGTCCCACGTGACTGGGCACAGTTTGAATCCCAGCCCCCATGGTGTGGGAAATACACTCACCTGTGTGCCCACACCCTTACGGCATGGAGGAGGGGAGGGGACTGCACAGCCGTGGCCACACCTGACGGGGAGCTGGCTTTCTCTTTCTGCCTCTCCTCCCACTGGCAAGTGCACACACTCTGGCAATTAAAGAGAGACAGATAAGGGGCCAGCAGGTAGTGAGTGGTTAAAGTGTTGGAATTCCCACATGGCCAACCATGGTTCGAGTCCCAGACCTGGTGGCTTGCTTTGTCACTCTCCTTTCTCTCTCTCTCTCTCTGTCTGTCTTTCTCTGGCAAAACACATATGAAAAAATAATAAATAAATAAACCATTATTTTGAAAAAAGAAAGATAAGAAAAATAAAATCTGATGGGATAAAGAATTGGAGGAGAAAGGATTGCAGTGTGGATCAGGCCTTTGCGAGGCGCTTTCTTCCTGTCTCTGTCTCTTGCATCCCAGACTCTTCTGTTGTCTTGGTTGTGTGGTTCCGTGTGTCACCGCAGCTTTTTTAAAATTTTTAAATTTATTACCTTTTAATTCACCAGAGAGAAGGGGGAAAGTGATAAAGCAAGCCACCAGGTCCGGGACTCGAACCATGTCTGGCCGTGTAGGAGTCCAGCCTCTTAAGCACCACTTGCTGGCCCTCACCCTCAGCTTTTTACCTCCATTATCAGGTGTTACATGGACGGGGTAGAAGTCACCTGTGGATAGTGTGTGAAAGGAACGGGGGGAGTACCAGGAGGAAGGTCTTACATGCCGGGGGAGCTGGGCCCTTCTTGGCCTCCATGGTTCCAGTGCCTAGTCTGGTTGGCCTGAAACACGCCAGGCACACACGCAGGTGTCCAGGATCTGTGGGTTGGGGGACTGGGGCAAGGGGACGGTGGCCTACCATACCCTGAAGAAGGTACTCACCCCGCCCATCTCACACGCATGGACTCTGACGGAGGCTTTCCCCTAGCACGTGGCTAAGCACTGTGTGGAGAAAGAGCCCACGTGACCGACCAGAGTTCTTGGACAGCATAATGTGCATTTCTGGGATGGAGCTGGCCCCGTGGCCCAGTGGTTAAGGGAGCTGGGTCCCACGTGACTGGGCACAGTTTGAATCCCAGCCCCCATGGTGTGGGAAATACACTCACCTGTGTGCCCACACCCTTACGGCATGGAGGAGTGGAGGGGACTGCACAGCCGTGGCCACACCTGACGGGGAGCTGGCTTTCTCTTTCTGCCTCTCCTCCCACTGGCAAGTGCACACACTCTGGCAATTAAAGAGAGACAGATAAGGGGCCAGCAGGTAGTGGGTGGTTAAAGTGTTGGGATTCCCACATGGCCAACCATGGTTCGAGTCCCAGACCTGGTGGCTTGCTTTGTCACTCTCCTTTCTCTCTCTCTCTCTCTGTCTGTCTTTCTCTGGCAAAACACATATGAAAAAATAATAAATAAATAAACCATTATTTTGAAAAAAGAAAGATAAGAAAAATAAAATCTGATGGGATAAAGAATTGGAGGAGAAAGGATTGCAGTGTGGATCAGGCCTTTGCGAGGCGCTTTCTTCCTGTCTCTGTCTCTTGCATCCCAGACTCTTCTGTTGTCTTGGTTGTGTGGTTCCGTGTGTCACCGCAGCTTTTTTAAAATTTTTAAATTTATTACCTTTTAATTCACCAGAGAGAAGGGGGAAAGTGATAAAGCAAGCCACCAGGTCCGGGACTCGAACCATGTCTGGCCGTGTAGGAGTCCAGCCTCTTAAGCACCACTTGCTGGCCCTCACCCTCAGCTTTTTACCTCCATTATCAGGTGTTACATCTGTAAACCCCACAATGCAAAGTGGCAGTTTTTTTCTTTGAATATCTGATTGTTTAGTAAAGGAATTTAGAGAAAATAGTTTTTTAAAAATTTGTTATAGGATGTATGTGCTCCCCCGAGAGAGGGAGAGAAAGTGAGAAGCATCCCTTGAGGGACAGCCACGCCGCAGTCCCTTCTCCATTTGCCTGTTGGGATTTTTGTCGTGCAAGCACATGTGCCTGGCATGTTTCTAAGCCACTGATTTGGGACTGGAACCGCACAGTGGACCCTATGGAGTCAGGCACCTGCTGGTCCCAGAAGTTCACTGTGAAGGAGGAATCCCTGAATGCTTTTGTTCTCTGCAGAAAACTGTGACCCTCTCTCTGGATTATTCTTTATACTTTAGGGGAGTCTTGACACTCGAGTAGATGGGCTTCCCTTGGCATACCAGTGACCTCCCGTAATGCCTGTCATCATGTGGGTTTTATGTGTTGTTTCGTGTTGGAGCACTTCACGACAACTCTGGTGGTCTCACGTCTTTATTTAAGACCCACAATTGCACCAGAAAACCCAAATAACACCAAAGCCCAGCAGAACACTACTGGTGCCACGCTTGGGGCCACTGTGGGTGTAGCTGGCCAAGCCGGGGCCTTTGGAAACCCGCTGCATGTGCATGTACAGGGAGGACTCCTCTCGTCTGACCCCGTGTGGCTGCGTGTGCACACGTGTACAGGGAGGACTCCTCTCACCTGTGCCGGGGGGGACTCCTCTCGCCTGTCCCCGTGTGGCTGCGTGTGCACACGTGTACAGGGAGGACTCCTCTCACCTGTCCCCATGTGGCTGTGTGTGCACACGTGTACAGGGAGGACTCCTCTCGTCTGTCCCCGTGTGGCTGTGTGTGCACACGTGTACAGGGAAGACTCCTCTTGTCTGTCCCTGTGTGGCTGTGTGTGCACACGTGTACAGGGAAGACTCATCTCATCTGTCCCCATGTGGCTGCATGTGCACACGTGTACAGGGAAGACTCCTCTCGCCTGTCCCCGTGTGGCTGTGTGTGCACACGTGTACAGGGAGGACTCCTCTCGCCTGTCCCCCTCTGCAGGAGGCCCTCTTCACTGCCCGCTTCAGCCCTCCGAGCTGCGGTGTGCAGGTGAGCAAGCTGTGGTACAAGCCTGTGGAGCAGTTTGTCCTGCCAGAGGTACGTGGGCAGGGGGCGGGCACCACAGCCTCCTAGGGCAGGGGGACGCGGGAGGGCGAGTGCCCACAGCCTCCTAGGGGTGGGGGCGTAGAGGGGCGGGCACCACAGCCTCCTAGGGGTGGCAGACGTGGGAGGGCGAGTGCCCACAGCCTCCTAGGAGTGAGGGTGGCAGCGTGGATGACCTAAATGTAGCACCCGTGTTCACCCCTCCTAAGCTCATGATGCCAGCAAGCCCAGGGTGTTGCCACTGTTTGTGCAGCGGGTGGGCTGCAGACTGTGAGTGGTAGTGGTGGGTGCAGGTGGGTGGGAGAGGGCTGCAGACTGTGAGCGGTAGTGGTGGGTGCAGGTGGGTGGGAAGGGAAGACCAGATTTGGGCCGGGCAGTACAGCAGAGAGCTGGCTTGACCCACAGGATGGAGACAGGCGGGTCGGGGCAGCCACCAGGCCTGGGTTTGAACTGTTGTCAGCCATGTGCGACCCAGCTCCCTTAACGACGGGAACACAGGGCTGGCCCAGCAGTGTAAGTTTCCAAACTCAGTTTAGTCATCACAGAGGAAGAGCTGACTTGATGAGGTAAGGATGTACAGACTTTAAATTAAAACAAAACAAAACTCAGTGACCTGCAGCTCTGAAAAAACGCATTTTAGCACGTAAAATACATCCAAATTAAGATTATAGATTACACTCTAAACACCCACAGAGAGTGGTAAGAAGAAGAAAAACCCAGTAGCCACATGTTGGAGAGGGGACGGGGCGGGCCCAGAGCAGGTCCTAGCATCGCTCGGAATCAGGCGTGCAGCGCGACAAGGACGCGCTTTCCACACTGGCCGTCCTGCCAGGAGCACACGAAGCAGCTGCGCTGTACTGCGAGTGCCCGCTGTGAAAAGGCTTCTGAAAGGCAGCAGGCGGCGTGGCCAGAGTCTGCCTTGTCCCCGTGATTTCACCTCTGCAAATTTATTTGAAATAAAACACCAGTGGGTGGTGTGCTGGCCACTCGCGCTTGGCCAACTGTGTCCAAGTTCCAGACCTAGTGGCTTTCTCACTTCATCTCTCTCTTTCTCTCATGAGCACACATGCCCTATAGCAAGTTTAAAAATAATAATAATAATAATTTGAAAATAGGAAAAAACATAGTGGGGAAAAATAAACATTGACCTCAAAACATGGCTGCATTATTTCAATAGCTGTTTGATTGCAACCCAATGTCAGGGATCAGGAGGCATCTGTCCAGTGGTCTCTCTCTCCCTGCCCCCCATCCTCCACGCCCCCCACACGCACAAACACACACAGACGAGAACGGTGGCCGGAACAGCTGAAGCCTAAGGCGCGGTGGGGCTGGCGGGGGTGGCATGCAAGACTGCCGTTCTGCACACGCCGTCCCCGTTTCTAGGACGTGCTAGAGAAGGACAAGTGTGGTAAACCGAGATGCTCGTGTGGGAGTTGCGGGACAGCATTTTCAATTGATATGTCTTGGGAAAAATGAACTTTTCTCTGAAGCCTTACCGAAAAATGTACTTAAACCTGAATTACACACAAAGAACCCGACTCACTATTCGTCTTCCCCCAAGAGCTTCGAAGGTACAATTGTGTGGGAGAGCCAGGACCCCCATGGCCTCGTGTCCAGAAATCTCCACAAAGTGACGGTGAACGATGGAGGCGGAGTTCTCAGAGTTATCGCAGTAAGTCAGCCTTTTTAGAAATGTCGTTTAGTAACTTATTTAACCTTTTTTTTTTTCTTTTTGAAAGGTTTTTGCTATAGGGCGCATGTGCTCGCCAGAAAGACAGAGAGAGACAGAGAGACAGAAAGCGAGAAATCACCCCCAGAGGGGGATGGCCACGCCGCAATCCCTTCTCCTTCATTCTCCTCTCGGGATCTTGGGCACACATGTACACGTGCCTGGCGTGAGTTTAAGCCACCAGGTCCAGGATTCGAACTGCGGTCAGCTACATGGCAGTCCAGTGACATAGCCATCACGCTAACTGCTGGTCCCATTATTTTATTTTTTTAACACTTAGAAATGTCTTTTTGCATCAACCAGGCAGTAAGGAATGAGTTGCCCACATTATGGGACATGTTTCTGATCCCCACTGGTAAAGACAGAAACCCAGCGTTCTGTGTGAGTCTGTCATGTGTGTGTATGTACGTAACACATGTACGTGTGGTCGTAACAATTTTACCTTTATATCAGCTTGGGTTGTTTTTTGATTTTTACGTTTTGGCCATAGGGTGCATGCACTTGCTAGAGAAAGGAAGAGAGCGAAGTGAGAAGTCACCCCTAGGGGAAAGCCGTGCTCTGATCGCTTCTCTGTTCTCCTCCTGGGATTTCGGGCACACACGCACATGGGCCTGACGGGATTTTTTTAAGCCATCTGGTTCGGGACTCTATCCATGGTCGGCCATGTGGGAGTCCAGCACCTTAACCATCACACCACCTGCTGGTCCCAAGATCAGTTTATTTTTATTATTATTATTATTTTGGGGGGAGGCTTTTGGTATAATAGGGTGCATGTGCTCGCCAGAGAGACAGACAGAAAGCGAGGAATCACCCCCCAGGGGGGATGGCCATGCCACAATCCCTTCTCCTCCATTCTCTCAGGATCTTGGGCATGCACGCACACATGTCCGGCATGAGTTTAAGCCACTGGGTCTGGGAGTTGAACTGCGGTCGACTACATGGGAGTCCAGCAACGTAGGTATTACACCAACTGCTGGTCCCAAGATCAGTTTATTTAGTGATGCTTTATTTCTCGGTCACTTTATATCGCTGTTCGTTGTCAGTACTCAGAGTGTCACCGAGTCACCGGGACAGTAAAATGAGAGTAGAGCACTGGGTGAGAACACTGGAGAACCAAGCTGAGTGTTCGCCCTCATTTACGCGAGTGTCAGTTCCGGGCTCCCACCTCTTGTGCTTCTGACACACTCAAATGTCCTTTACGCTGAGCCGTCTGGGCGTAGCTGCAGTGTGCTGCGCCCACAGGCTGGGGCACGGGGTGCCAGCCTGAAGGCCTCCGTGGGGCACGCGCCCATGAGGCAGGAACCAGTAAGCTGAGGCTGCCTGGGCAACATAGCAACACCCTGTCTTAAAAGAGCATTTCTTTGTAAAACAGTCAGACAAGTCAATCTCCTGAAAGTGAGTGTAGGTAGTAAGTGAGGTGGGCATGAAGTGGTAAGGCTGGTAGGTAACCGGCCCCTCCGTCTCCGTGGCACGCCGGTCTGATGGTTAGGGGTTACCTGGCATTTAAATTCACCAGTGCGTCCATTAAATACTTGCTGCACTCCTGAGCTTCCGTAGTGCCTGTGACTCTGGAAACGCTTCCTGCACAGCTGTTGGGTGGGCATGGAGGGCCCCTCTCTGACCCCACGGAACAGCAGCACAGTCCGCCGAGGAGAGAGCATGGGCCACGGTTCACCTGTGACCCCAGTGGGTCAGGAAGGCCGTGTTTACACATGCAGCATGTGTAAGATTTTGTCTCTTACTAGGAAAACCCCATTATTTTAGATAGAAAGTTTCACGAATTTATGATTTTTCTTCCCGTATTTGTAAGGCATGTGTCATTAATCTGTTACCCGCTGTCTAGCCCCTCACGTGCTGGAACCCCATCGGCCCTGAGTTACAGTGAAGAAAGCTGACTTGCCGGCGAGGACTAGGTGCAGGTGCCGGGGCTCTGGCGCTCTGCAGTAGGGTCAGACGGTCGGAGAGGGCTTGAGATAGTTCCGATAGGCAGCTACCCTGGAAAACCAAAGTGCAGTAACAGCAGCCTAGTCTAAAGCCCACGTGCAGAAGGTTTGGTTTTGTTTTTAGGAGGGCACATGCACTCACCAGAGACAGAGAGAGTGGGGAATCGCCCCCTGGGGGTTGGCCACGTTGTTGTCTCCTTTTGGGATTTTGGGCACGCGCATATACTGCCGGGTGTGAGTTCCAAGCTGCCAGTTCTGGGGCTCGAACTATGGTGGGCTATGGGAGTTCTGCATCACCCACACCCGCTGCTGGTCCTAGGTGTAGGTTCTCAGCACACAGTGCTGGGCACGTTCAGGACGCCTTGTTCCCTTGCCAGGAGTGATAATGTCAAAAAAAAAGTGAAGTGACATTGAAAGGCAAGGCGTGACCTTTCAGAAGGACGTTACCAAATAAAACGGTGCTCAGTCTGAACAGGCCCACGCGACGTGAAGTCTTAACCTGCCATGGAACGGCGAAGTCGGGTCGCAGACATATTTGAAATTGTTCAGTATGACAGGTTACCACAGTGACCTCAGGCCACTCTACACTAGCCTTATCATACCACTTTTTAGTGACACTCAGCCAGTGGTGGGCGGTGAAGGTGGCTGGATCCCACATGAACTGCATGGTTCACATCCCCTACCCAGCGTCTTAACACGCCAAGCATGTGTGCATGCGTGCCCAAAACCCTAAGGAGAAATGGAGAAGGAATCGTGGTATGACCATCTCTGTGAGGGATACTGTCACTTTTCTTCTCTTTCTCTCTCTACCCCCATCAAGTGCATGTGCCATGTAGCACATTAAAACAACAAATTCATTTCCAGTAAACGTATACTTTAACAACAACAGAGGGAGGCTGGCAGGTGGTGTGGTGGTTAAAGACACTGGACTCCCACATGGCTGACCGAGGTTCAAGTGCCGGACCTAGTGGCTTGCTTTCTCACTTTCCCTCTCTCTCTGTTTTTCTCTGATCAAAACTAAAAAAAATAATAATAAATAAAGTTAATTAAAAAATTATTTTTAAAACAAAGAAGGGACCAACAGATGGTATAATGGCTATGTTGCTGGATCCCCCATACTCGACTGCTGTTCGGAGTCCTGGACCCAGTGGCTTAAAACTCACGCCAGGTGCATGTGCATGCGTACCTGAAATCCTGAGAGGAGAATAGAGAAGAGGTGGCAGCATGACCATCCCTGGTGGGGAGTGATTTTTCACTTTCTCTGTCTCTCTCTGGTGAGTGCATGCGCCCAATAGCAAAAATCTGTCAAAACAAACAAACAAACAAATAAAAACCCATGCTGGACACATGAGCCTGTGTGCCTAAAGTCCCAAGAGGAGAATGGAGGAGAAGGGATTTCAGCATGGCCACCCCCCAGGGCATGATTTCTCACTTTCCCTCTCTCTTTTTTCCAGCAAGCATAGGTGCCCTAGAGCAAAAATCTCTCTTAAAATAAAAGAGATAGAAGAAAGTGAAATGGAGAACATGAGCACGGGCCCTCCTGATGGGGGAGGGAGCGTGTACACAGGAAAACCCGTAGGCAGACTGCGCTCTGGCAGGCAGCTCCTGGGGAGGCGCCACGTGGGTGTCCCACGGAGAGAAGCAGAGCAGCTCCCCGAGTAAAGGCATGGGTGACCGGGGACACGAACAGCAACAGTGAAAGCCCCTCTCGTCCTCAGAGGCCACGTGGCTCTGGTTAGCTGTGGGGCAGTGGTCTCGAGGTACTTTCGGCCACATCTAATCGGAAGGCCTGGACTGTGGGCAGACGTCGATTTAGAACTTTTCTCTGCAGGGTCTCTTACTCTTCAGCTGTACTAAGATTTTTCTTTTCTTTTCTTTTCTTTTTTATTTGGAGAGGTTTTTTGCTATAGGGCGCGTGCGCTCGCCAGACAGACAGAGACAGAGACAGAAAGGGAGAAATCACCCCCCAGGGGGGATGGTCATGCCGCAATCCCTTCTCCTCCATTCTCCTCTCAGGATCTTGGGCATGCACGCACACGCGCCCGGTGTAAGTTTTAAGCCACCAGGTCCGGGACTCGAACCGCGGTCGACTACATGGGAGTCCAGCGACATAGCCATTATGCTAACTGCTGGTTCCCTGCTAAGATATTTTTGAACTTATGAGAGTTTTCAGTCTCCAAGAAATCAAAGGTAGTGGTAAAATTTTTTTTGAAATGGTGTGGGGTTGGAATGTGAAATACATTGCTTTTTCCCTATAGCAAAAAAAAGAAAAAACAAACAAAAAAAAAAACAGAGAAAGAAAGAAACTGGGTTTTGTGTGGTCATGGCATGAAGTACACGAATCTGTGAGGCTACAGAAGCCGGAGTGGCGTGTGGACGCAGGTAGACCTGGTCCTCAGTCCGGAACGGGTCCCGGGGAGTGGGTCATGCTGCCCTGACAGTGTGAGGGTCAGTGTGCCACCCCCTTTGATGCAGTCCCCTGCTGCAGTGGCGTCATCTTAGTAATGTCCCCAGATCCGGCTTAAAAGACATTAATAACAAAGCGATTTTTAGAAGAGAGACACTGAATGCTCTGTCCTCACTCCTTCCAGGCCGGGGAAGGTGCATTGCCACGCGAATTCATGGAAGGTGTGGAGGGAGTTGCAGGGGGTTTCATTTACACCATTCAGGGTAAGTGGTCCGGCGAGAGCTGGGGAGCACACCGACTCTCGGGCCCCCAGTCTCCTTTGATGTGGCCCGAGTAGGGGACAGTGGGAGAGCACCCTCCCTGCGGCATGGTCGCGCCATAGTCCTGTCTCTGTTTCTCCATTCTATCAGGATTCTGGGCCACACACAGATGCCTGGCATGTTTACTGCTGGGGCCGGAATTCGAACCCTGGTCAGCCATGTGGGGTCCAGCTCTCTCAGCCACTAGGCTGCAGCGGCTGGGACCTG